CAAGCGAGATCCTCATCGCCAACCGCTGATCCCGAATCCCTTGGTCGCGGCCCGTACATCATGAAGACGTTGTCAGTGTTTGCTGCCGCCCTTTTGGCCGCTGTGGCTGAGGCCAATGTACGTTCCCCTTTGCCCTGTTGCAGCTGCACCGAGACATTGGCCCTCTCCCCTTTGCTTTGATTGACTGCAGCCTTCCCTCTTTGCTGCATCATCGGATGCCTGCCGAGTCGGCAGCCCCATTGGAATGCACTTGCAAACTCACGTCGACTCGCGAGTTTTCCCACTCACAGCCCCTTATCCCCCTTCGAACCTATTCCTGAGCGATTCCACTTCCCCCCATGCATGAGTCGGCACAGTTGAACCGGAGAAAGCAGTTTGGACATATTTGGCAGAGCAGTCTTGGTTACTGTCGCTTTCACTCCGTTTACTGCTGCTGTTATAACTTGTCATGAGAATCCCGTCGCTCGCTCTTTTCGTCTTTCTCTCCTCAACTCTCACAACCTTCCACGGCGCACCAAGTCATCACTCGTCTTCGCTATGAAGACAGCATTTCTTTTGGCCGCCTCTACGGCGACGGTTTTGGAACTTGTGACGGCTGCTGACACTCATTTGAACGCACAGCCCTACCCGCCTCACGCCAACGGGACGTACTCGCCTCCTCAATCCAGCAAGGAGGCATACTCGCCTCCTTTCTATCCTTCGCCATGGATGGACCCCAGTGCCCCAGGTTGGGAGCAAGCCTATGCTCAAGCTAAGGAGTTTGTCTCGGGCTTGACTCTCTTGGAGAAGGTCAACCTCACCACCGGTGTTGGGTAAGCTCTTCATTCTGATAGTCCCGTTAGGCACGCGTGCTAATCATTCCTGCAGCTGGATGGGTGAGAAGTGCGTTGGAAACGTTGGTACTGTGCCGCGTCTGGGCATGCGAAGCCTCTGCATGCAGGACGGTCCCCTCGGTCTGCGTTTCAACACGTACAACAGCGCTTTCGGCGTTGGCTTGACCGCCGCCTCCAGCTGGAGCCGACACCTTTGGGTTGATCGCGGTACTGCTCTGGGTTCGGAGGCAAAGGGCAAGGGCGTCGATGTCCTTCTCGGACCCGTGGCTGGCCCTCTCGGTCGCAACCCTAACGGAGGCCGTAACGTCGAGGGCTTCGGATCGGATCCCTATCTGGCGGGTTTGGCTCTGGCCGACACCGTCACCGGAATCCAAAATGCCGGCACCATCGCTTGCGCCAAGCACTTCCTCCTCAACGAGCAGGAGCATTTCCGCCAGGTCGGCGAAGCTAATGGCTACGGGTTCCCCATCACCGAGGCTATCTCCTCCAACGTTGACGACAAGACGATTCACGAGGTGTACGGCTGGCCATTCCAGGATGCCGTCAAGGCTGGTGTCGGGTCCGTCATGTGCTCGTACAACCAGGTCAACAACTCGTACGCTTGCCAAAACTCCAAGCTCATCAACGGCTTGCTCAAGGAGGAGTATGGTTTCCAAGGGTTTGTCATGAGCGACTGGCAGGCTCAGCACACGGGTGTTGCCTCGGCTGCTGCCGGTCTCGACATGACCATGCCTGGTGACACTCTCTTTAACACGGGTGCGTCCTACTTTGGAAGCAACCTGACGCTTGCTGTCCTCAACGGCACCGTCCCCGAGTGGCGCATCGACGACATGGTGATGCGCATCATGGCCTCCTTCTTCAAGGTTGGCAAGTCCATCGACAGCCTCATCGAGACCAACTTTGACTCATGGACGAATGACGAGTTCGGCTACGTTCAGGCCGCTGTCAGCGAGAACTGGGAGAAGGTCAACTATGGCGTCGATGTCCGCGCAGACCATGCTAACCACATCCGCGAGGTTGGCGCCAAGGGAACCGTCATCTTCAAGAACGACGGCATCCTGCCCCTCAAGAAGCCCAAGTTCCTGACCGTCATCGGCGAGGATGCCGGCGGCAACCCTGCCGGCCCCAACGGCTGCAGTGACCGCGGCTGCGACGACGGCACTCTTGCCATGGAGTGGGGATCCGGTACTACCAACTTCCCCTACCTCGTCACCCCTGACGCCGCCCTGCAGAGCCAGGCCCTCCAGGACGGCACGCGCTACGAGAGCATCCTGTCCAATTACGCCACCTCGCAGATCCAGGCGCTTGTCAGCCAGCCCGATGCCATCGCCATTGTCTTTGCCAACTCGGATAGCGGCGAGGGCTACATCAACGTCGACGGCAACGAGGGTGACCGCAAGAACCTGACTCTGTGGAAGAACGGCGACGACCTGATCAAGACTGTTGCTGCCAACAACGCCAAGACGATTGTCGTCGTCCACTCGACCGGCCCGGTCATCCTTAAGGACTACCACAACCACCCCAACATCTCTGCCATTCTGTGGGCTGGTGCTCCTGGCCAGGAGTCGGGCAACTCTCTGGTGGACATTCTGTACGGCAAGCAAAGCCCCGGCCGCACTCCCTTCACCTGGGGCCCCTCGCTGGAGAGCTACGGCGTCAGTGTCATGATGACGCCCAACAACGGCAACGGCGCTCCCCAGGACGACTTCAACGAGGGCGCCTTCATCGACTACCGCTACTTTGACAAGGTGGCTCCCGGCGCGCCTCGCAGCTCGGACAAGGCCCCCACGTACGAGTTCGGCTTCGGACTGTCGTGGTCGACCTTTAAGTTCTCCAACCTCCAGATCCAGAAGAACAATGTCGGTCCGATGAGCCCCCCGAACGGCAAGACGATTGCGGCTCCCTCTCTGGGCAGCTTCAGCAAGAACCTCAAGGACTATGGCTTCCCCAAGAACGTTCGACGCATCAAGGAGTTCATCTACCCCTACCTGAGCTCCACTGCCTCGGGCAAGGAGGCGTCCGGCGACGCTCACTACGGCAAGACGGCCAAGGAGTTCCTCCCCGCCGGCGCCACGGACGGCAGCCCTCAGCCTCGCTCTGCGGCCTCTGGCGAGCCCGGCGGCAACCGCCAGCTGTACGACATTCTCTACACCGTGACCGCCACCATTACCAACACGGGCGATGTCATGGACGATGCCGTTCCCCAGCTGTACCTGAGCCACGGTGGCCCCAACGAGCCCCCCAAGGTGCTGCGTGGCTTCGACCGCATCGAGCGCATCGCGCCCGGCCAGAGCGTCACGTTCAAGGCCGACCTGACGCGCCGTGACCTTTCCAACTGGGACACGCAGAAGCAGCAGTGGGTCATCACCGACTACCCCAAGACTGTCTACGTTGGCAGCTCTTCGCGCGACCTGCCCCTGAGCGCGCGCCTGCCATGAGGGAGACGAGTTACGATGTGAATGTTTTTAGTGTATAAATACCATCTTAGTGTTAATTCAGATTAATAAAGCTCATGAAGCCTGCGTGCTGGACCCTTTGATGTGAATGATGACTTGTATGCTATATCTGGAGCTTTGACACCGGCCTGGCATTGCATGGAGGACACCATATGACCTTATAGAAGGTCGTCGAATGCGGCAGCGATTGAAACTTGACTTTACCAGAGTCCGTTTGATCAGTTTATATGTTTTGTTTTTGTTTATCGCACTGGGCTATATCTATCTGTTTTATCTTGTTCGCTGTCTTGAGCAGCTGATTGGACGTCCAGCTTCAAACTCCAGCATCTTGGTCATTGGCTGAGATCATGACAACAGGGTCAATAGCGCAGCAGTTAAAGGCAGAAGTGATGAATAAGCTACCGACAGACATAGGACCAGTACGAGTAGTAATCACGCTCAAAGGCAATAATAGGTAATCAAGGCATCTGAAAGAAATGGACGAATGACGTCTCACCGCTGCTGCATCTGCAAAGTGACTGGGCGGTTTGGATGAGGGTTGAATGATTTCGCGCCCAGCTTCCCAATTCCCAAGCCAAGGTAAGCCCAAGCTTTTTTGGCGACAAGCCTGGGCGCTTAGAACGGCAGAGGTGGTCCGACGGAGGGGACGATTTTGGCAAATGGTGTTGTTTGATTGGATGGAATGGAAGAGAGGTGGTTTTTGATTGGATGGAGGGAGGGGGAATTGGGAAAGGGGACGGGGGGTGGCCCTTGGTTTCTGTTTGGGTGGTTTATTTTTGTGATTTGGTGCATGCATGCATGGGATTGGAGGTGATGGGAGGGAATCCGGTGGCATGGGACAGAGGCAGTAGTATTGTATTGTATTGTATTCCCTACAGCTGCAGCTCTTCTTCTCTTTCTTCTTCTTCTTTTCCCTTCTTCTCTCCTATTACTTCAAGTTCCGCTCTGGATGACCTGAACGACCTTGACGACATATATTGCAACAGGACAAGGCCCTGATTCTGATTCGTCCTAAAAAGGCCTCCGTGTTTCGACCGCAGCGCTTTGAGACGCGGACTGTAAGACGAGCGTCCCACCTCGCACTCACTTGCGACAGCGGCTTCAACAACATCCTCTTCCCGGCCTCTCGCTTTGCTTCACACGATCCCTTTGCACCAAAGGATACAACATAATCTCAGCTGCTGTTTTCGTTGTAACCACAGCCAAGATCTACACTCCGTATGTAGTAGCACGATCCAGCGGGTGTTTCTGTAACCCCATGTCACGGAGCTTCATGATCTTATGAAGCTAATTCTGCTTTTTCCCAGGTTCTTGACAGCGTTCCTGTGTGTTTTAGCCTGCGGAGAAGGGGGGCAATACTTGTTACTTTAGAGCGACTCTCCCTTCTTTCGCGTGTTCTTGCTTCTTTCTGTTCTTTTTTCTCATTCATTTCTTCTTGGCGGGCTTTCTTTGGTGAGCGTGTGCTGTCATTCGGGTTTCTGCTCTTTCTTCTTCTCTCTTGGCTTCGAATAAACTCGCTGGGCGAGTCCTTTCTTTCGACTATTTTTCTTTTTGGCGATCATATCGCAAGCGATAGCATCACGACGTTTGCAAAGTTCAGCTCATTGCCGATACGCTCAAACAAACCAAACCACGCAACAACCACGACCGCATTCTTACTCATCAAAACACCAACGAACTCACCTATCCATTCCGCATAGCAAAAGACAACATGGGCAATAACCTCTCCTCCACCTTCGAGCCGGACCTCTCCAAGGTGGTCCTCAGCCCGTCGGACCGCCGCGCAGACATCATCCTCGGCGTCACCTGGCTGCTCGTCATCTACGCCCTCGTCATGGTCTGGACGACGTGCGCGCTCGTGGACCGCTGGAAGGGCCCGCAGGACAGGATACGCGTGGGGGCGGGCAGGGTGATGATGGCGGTGGTCATGTCGGCGGCGTGGCCTGCTGTGGTGGTGTATCTGGCCATG